GTTTGCAGGGTCCTACCCCTCGAAGCCTCCATGTTGTCCCCTATTTCCAGCCGTACCTCCTCCCCCGATTCAGGGAATGATCTTCCCCAAGTACCGTGAGCCACTTTGCCTTAGACGTTTGGTGCCATGGCAAGACGCAGGCAGATCTTCTTTCTCCAGAAGATGCCTCTGGAGGGATGGAGGCACCCTATGCCCCTCTCCCAAGTTTTTATCCCCATGGGTTTGGTGTTTTGCAGGTGAAAAGGCATTTCTGCGGATAGGCTACAAGTAGATAGGTGTATACTTCTTGAGTAGCAGCATGGGCCTTTTTTAGCATTAGAGAAGAGACTTCTTTTGCTTAGTGTTTTAAAAGTAAACAAAACTTTTGTGTGGTGCACATGCTTAATTTCAGTTACAGACTCTTTCTCAACCTTCCCTCCTTGTGCTGAAGTAGTATTAATTTTATTGCCTGTATATGAATTGAATTCACTGATTGGCGTCTAATCATGCTTAGGAAAAAAAGCCCGCGGAAACAGCTATCGGAATTAATTTGGCAGTAACTGTGAGAAATGACCATAAATTTACAAATGCAGTTGAAGTAATGATCCGGTGTGGATTTAACAAAAAATACACCCCCAACCTCTGGGAAGCAGCGTGTAGGTTTCTATGACAGTCAAACGCACTTGGTCACACTGGTACTGAGCTTAGAGGCTGGGAGTTGTCCAAGAAGGATGCAGAGGGGTTAAGACTCCTGGGTTTGAGCTGGGAAGAGGCAAAGAAGAGAAGGAGCTGGGCTGAGTGCAAGCAGGAATATTAAGAGAGACCCCTGTGTTTTAATCATGTGCTGCTTGAGGTTGTGTGGGAGTGAAGCCAAAAGATGTGGCAATGTCTTCACCTACCAGGAGCCCACCTGGAGTTGGGGTTCCTGGCACTTCTGGACATCAAATGATAAAAGGCTCCTTTTGCACAGGGATGCCAACGACTTAAGGGAGTGCTCTAAAAAATGTCACCTCGTAACACTTCTCTTGGGGGTGTGTTAATGAGGTTTACCTCTGCCACAAGGGTCTGATCTTGAAAAGCCTTAGGCACTGCAAGTGCTTTTGCACTGAAGCTGCGGGGCCATGTGTAATGTGAAGTACATTCCCCAGGCGTCGCAGGAGGAAGGCCCGACTAGCTAAGGATAAACAAGACCTCGCCTTTTTTCTCTGTCGGTTCGGGAAAGATCAAGATGTACGGTGGAGAAAAGCGAGTGGGCAAGTACACGGGGAGCCCCTGAAGGTGGCTGCAGAGCGTTCCTGGATGCGCACAGCAGCCTGTGCCGGCCGGGCTGGCAGCAATTCTAGCGGCTGCTTGCAAGGATGGGCCACGAAAGTGAGATGTTGTAATGAAAAGTCCTGTAGGAAGGAAAAACACGCTGGCAGATAAACATTTTTTTCTAATGTCAGTATTACTGAACTTGTATTTTTCTCCTTTTTTTGTGTGTTGTTATTTAATTAGGAACCTTTGACTTCATGATGGGAGGAAACATCCCCCAAGCTGTTAGGATCCGAGCTTCTCCCAGCACGAGGATTTGTCAAGGCTGAGAGACTCCGGATTATCCATAAACCTCCTCTAAAATACACAGCTGCTTTTCCGTGTCCCCATCGCGAGGGGTCTTGGAGCAGATACAAAGATGGCCTCCAGCCTCACCTGCGCCGGCGTCGTCTGGGCCTTCCTCTCCTTCCTCTGCGCTGCCACCTCCTGCGTGGGCTTCTTCATGCCCTACTGGCTCTTGGGGACTCAGCTGGAGAAGTCGGTTTCCTTTGGCACATTCCGGAGGTGTTCCTACCCAGTGCGGGACGAGAGCCGCCAGACGACCGTGATGGTGGAGCAGTGTGGCCGCTACGCCTCCTTCCAGGCTATTCCGAGCGCCGAGTGGAGGATCTGCACGGTGGTGACAGGCCTGGGCTGCGGGCTTCTCCTCTTGGTGGCCCTGACGGCGCTCATGGGCTGCTGCGTGTCCGAGCTCATCTCCAGGACCGTGGGCAGGGTGGCAGGAGGCATCCAGTTCCTGGGGGGTAAGTGCTGATACAGGGAGGGGACGGGGACATCCAGGCTGTAGGTTTACACGTGGGGAGACTCCCCTGGTGCTTTGGGTTAAGGAGGGGGTGAGTCAAACTTTCTGCCAGCGAGGGAGACCACTGGGCTCCCTCAACAGTTGAGCTGGTTGTCTGGATGCCTGAACATGGACCAAAGATGCAGCCGCCTGTGGTCACTCTCTTGCGCTTAGTCCCTGCCCGGTCGTTGTGCAACCTTTGAGAGTTGCATGGCAGGTTGACTTCTGTGGGCCAGCGTCTTCGCAGCGGTTTTGTGGGCTGTAGTTTCCAGTGGAGCTCAGCCGGGATGGAGGTACCTGGAGAAGCGTTAGGAGCTGCAGAGCCCCATGGAGCATCGCGGTTTTGCAGAGGAGAGGCTGTGTTATGTGGGAACCTCTCTTCTTTCTCCTTCCTACCCCCATCACCGGCACAGCTCCCTCCACCTCTGCTCTCCGCAGCTGTGTGGATCTGGCAACAAGTCTGTGGCTCAGGTTTGAAGTGGGAATTTTTTATCCCTGGTGGAGGTGGCCCGCCATCTCCCAGGAGGAGCCCCGCCGGGCTGTCTGACCCACGCTGCCTGCTGAGGGTGCCACGAGTTTGTTGAGTCTATGGGCTAGATGGTGTGTGGGAGAATTACCTCCCCTCCTTTTTTTAGCTTGTAATTGTACGGAGTATTTGTAACAGTGGAGTATTTAAAGGGTATGAGACAGTAAACAGGATCCTCAAGCGTGTTTTTTATAGGGCAGTTTTCCCAGTAAATTATCACTCTCTTGTCATCGGTGACATGCGGCTCAGCGGCACCCACTTTTGCCTGGTGCAAGTGCTCCACCGCCTGCGTGTGCTCGCCCCCGTAAGGTGGGCTTTTGGTGCTGGGGCAGTGCAGGCACCAGCATTTTGGGTGCCCTGCAGCATGTGGTCTCAGCCAGGCGCGCCGGCTCATGCCATGGAGGAGCAGGCTGCAGCAGGACCCTCACCTCTCTCCCCTCCGAACAGAAACTCGCCCCGCAAGGGCAGTCTGGATACATTCCGAGTCTGCAGCCCTAAGGAAGCACAAGACAAAAGCCCCGCTACCGTCCAGCTCAGGGCGGACAGCTGAGGCAAGGAAAGGGCCCGTGCCAAGCCCCCAGCCAGGCGATGCCGGCGTAGCTCCCTCCCGGCCGTGGGGAGCCCTGCCTCCAGCTTTTTGAGTAGTTTCTGCACTTTAGAGGAAACCGACCCTGTCGCTTCACCCTTCCCTTAGCTTTGCAACTCGCAGGCATTC